CGGTGCCCCTGTGACGAACGGCGTGTCACTGCTGCGGCCTGCATTCGGCGTCCGCAGCGGAAAAAAACACTCGCCAAAGGAAAAGCATCTAAAAGAGATTTAGGGTTATAAATAGGCCATCTGTTTCCTCACAAAACCTTGAGGACGAGGGGGGAGAGCATTCTGTGAGGACTGTGTGTTACCTTATCACCTGAAGTCTCATAACCAATTTGAAATTCCAGTGTCCTAAGGCACAATTACTTTGATTAATGACGCAGCGGAAAAAAACACTCGCCAAAGGAAAAGCATCTAAAAGAGATTTAGGGTTATAAATAGGCCATCTGTTTCCTCACAAAACCTTGAGGACGAGGGGGGAGAGCATTCTGTGAGGACTGTGTGTTACCTTATCACCTGAAGTCTCATAACCAATTTGAAATTCCAGTGTCCTAAGGCACAATTACTTTGATTAATGAAGATGGTAACATTCCCATCCCCACTGCCCCAGGAACAGATGTAAGAGTTGACTACCAAGACGGAATAAAAGCAGCATCTGTTTATGTGGACAAATGTTAAAGGAAAAAAAAAAAAAATGGAGGGAAGAGGGGCTGTTGTCATTGTCAGGCTGCTCTGATGCAGGCACGTGTTTGACACAACGCTGCTGAAGCATCTCATCTACGCGTATGCGACTGCACGCTCACATTTTCAAGGTTAAGAGCCAAATCCCCCCCAGAGGCTGAGAAGGAAGACAGTTTAAAAATTGGGGCTTTCGTAGAAGTGGAAAACCAGGCTAAAACGTGATCGTAACCTGTTCCCCAGGGAAACACAAACCACGCCCGCACTTCTCGAGAGTAGTGGTCAGGCACTCTAGGAAAGCAAGGAGTCGAATGTCTGGAAATTGGGGAATACGCACTGGTTTAATTCGGCCTTCCTCAGAAGGGAGCCCTCCAGGACATCACCCCGCCCTTAGCAGACGGGCGGTTGCGAGGAGGACTCAGCGAACAATCACTGGCTTGCCAGGCCGGTCAGCGGGGCGATGGTGAAGGGAACACCACACACAACACCACTGTTCGTTGTGGCCCTCATCTGTATTTTGTCCTTTTTTTTTTTTTTTTTGGGGGGGGGGGTAACACTCATAGACCTAATATATTCTGTTCATAAAACCTTAAGGGGATATTTTAAGGGAACTAAAAGCATGTTTGTTTTGTCCACAGATGAAACACCGGTGTAGCTGAAGACTGAACCTGTAGTGGAGTGTTAGTCAACTGTAAACTGTAGGAGACGTGTGCATTTTACACAGACTGAATACAGAGGAGACAAAGGACGAGTCTGCATCATTCCAACTCTGATAAAGTGCACGGCCTTCGGAATTCCTGTCCCCGCTCGTGGAGCCATTTATTGGATACTGCAAAGACATAAAGGTATTTGATCACTGCACCTGGTTAGCTCCTGCTTCCATTTAAGCTCAAGATACGCTATCGGCCAGCTTTCAGTTAAGCGCAGGATTATCTTCATTTCCTAAAGTAGTTTAATACACACACACACGTGAAGTTGGTCTAATAAATCCAAGAGGGAAGAAACCTTCCCGGTAGCTATGAAACTACAAAGGAGCTATATAGTATTACAAGCATTTTATGTATATATAATAAAATGTGCCACTCTCTATATATAACATAATATATATGGAGAGAGAGAGAAGAGATGAAGTAGATACAGCTCTAAAGTAGATTTCTGACCCAATTTCTGGCTGCTTTTTATTCCACTGGAGGGAAAAGACAACCACGACAACCCACCACCAAAGCCCCAGAACTCCAGGCAGCGAGAATCAACGCGAGGGGTACGTACTTACCCCATTTGTTTCCAACTAGTACTGGGCAGGCTGCATGCCGCGTGCTGTAATCGCCTTCTCCGCTCGGGAAGAGATTGTACCAGAATACAGCTGTTCCCTGGAAATCGCAGTGGAAACCCTCAGCGTTTTGCTCTGCGCAACACGCGCTTTCACACCAGCTTACTTAAAGGTAAGGCAAAGGTACCTGTGTTTGTGTTTCGGACGTTCCTTTTAAACTGACGGCTCTTTTCCGTATTCTAACATTTGCTTTCCTGAGGAATGAGTCTCCCTGGACTCATTCTGTGTCTATATATACTTGAATGTTAATTTTTTTTTTTTAAACCCGAAGCCAGTTTCATTCAACTCCTCTGACCAGTTTTAGAAAACAAGATAATTTACTCAAAATGAGCAGCAGGCCAGCAAAGGAGGGACCTTTATTTGTGACCCTTCTGAGGGAAAAAAATGTAACAGGAACACACAATTTCAGGGAGAATTCCCTACAGATGCCTCAAGACTAAACCTACTTACAGATTTGAGTATTTTCAAAATGTTTTTTGAAATATTGGCATGTTTTGCAAAGTCTATGCATCGGAAGCAGTGAAGTCCAAGAGGTAACTATGCCTTAAGACGCAGAACATCGGGGGCCCTTGGAATCAGCAGTACTCCTCCGGTCGCTTATTTAATGGGAAGCACCTCTGCGCTCCCATGAACAGCGCTCTACTCTTCTTTTATATAAACTCATTTTAAAGCTGCTTTTTAAACGTTTCTACATGTGTTGTATTTTTGAGTGGGTGGAGAGAGGAGTGGTTGCACTGGATAAAAAACCCTGCTTACCTTTTTAGGCCAAACGCTGGCTCCTACTTCAGGAAAGACGGTAGCTCCCCCTGCTGACACGTCGCTCATCTGAAAAGGTGGGGAAAGGCCCAGGTAAGTTGCAAGCCGATACGTTCCCAAGCGTCACGTTTTAGTAAAACAGAATTAGGTTACCGAACAACTTAATTTCCGCCTGCCAATTAGTGAGCAAAGGCTGCGTGATTAACAGCCTTAATAAAAAAGGCTGAAACCCACCCACTTTGTTCAAAGCGCAACAGGCCAGCCTGGCACTGAGTGGTACACGCGCAAACGTTTTGGCAATTGGCAAATAGCGACGCAGACACAAAAACGAATAGGCGGTCAAATAATTTAAGCTGATGCTCAGCTTTGGGTGGGGACCTCCTTAAGAACACACGGAAGGACCATTACTTATGGGTAAGAAGATACCCCGTATGTATTACCTACCGCTAAGTTAGTGGCTGCCTTCATTTGCAAGTCACTTCAGTAAAAAAAAAAACCCAAAATGAAATCATTCAACGGTACAGAATATGCAGTGATAGCTATTTTTGGCACTAGCGCATGGCAGAAATATATCACTTACATAAAACAACCACGTAGCAATTCTGTTGCCTGTTCCCAATTCCTTAAAAGCATCTGGCTCATCTTTCTGTGAATAAAAGCAAGCAGATTTAATAAGCATTTCATTTTGATTATTGAGGAGCCAATGACATACAGCTGCGGAGGCAGCAGCAGACAAACTCATGCAGAAAAATTAGTTCAACCCCTCTATTTGGAAGGAGGGGAGAGTGCAGTATGAGTGTATCTATTAATTTAAATAAACCAGGCATTTTGAAATTCTGGAGGACACAGAAGGCATAAGCCCAAATTGCTGGTGGGGAGGAACAGCTGTACTGTCTGAAAATGAGTACATCAGTCCTCGTCAGAGCCACAAACTTCATTGGTTAATTACATGAACTTATCCCCTCTTGTCCTTGGCCAAGATGAGCAACGGCGAGGGCAGCTCTTCAGCGCCAGGCTCCCCGAGCG